TTCCAATACCTTTGTTAGCTGAAAAAATTGGTTAGAAGCAGTAGAAATTAAAAACTACAGTATGTGTTGGAATAGATTTCAAAATCTCATCCTAATAAAACTGTTCTTGATTATCAGTATTACTTCTAGCCTGAAAGTAAATTGGGTAAGAGATATCATAGGTCCGTTGCCTTCTGTGTTCTTCCTTCTGAACTTACTTCAAGTGGATAAATGGATTCCTTATTTAATGCCTCATTTCTTTAGAGAATTTTAATGCATTAATATCCTCTGAGTAGATCCCATGGCCTTTTATGTGGCCAGATGGGAAGGGAATAAAACAATCTCCACTGGCCCAGTTTTTTCTCTTACTAAACACTAAAAAGAAAAAAAAAAATCAAGACACCCTTAAAATCCCTTTTTCTCCAGTTTCTTTAAGAGAGGGGTTAACAAAGCCCTGTAACACTCTTAAAGCTCTCCTGCTGCTAAGGGGAGTGCAACAGAGACTGTCACCATAAGGACTGACTCCTGACTGAGAGCTGAGTCTTTCTCAAGAGAAATCTGACAATTAAGTGCAGAAGTTGTCCTTGGATTGCACCAAAGATTATCCCAGCTGGGGTTCTGAGAAGGACTCTGGCAGAATATGGCAAGGGAAGGCCCTTTGTGGCACAGATCGAAAACACCCTACCCTATGGGGCTGATCACAGTCAGAAAACTAGGAAGAGACTGCCTTTTAGATTTATAGAGAGCCTCCACAAGAGGCTCTCCAGAGTAAAGTCTTTTTTAAAAATTAATTTTAGAAAGAGACACATTATCAGTATTTCAAAAGACAAAGCAACTTAGGCAAAATTTAGACCAAAATAAGAAAGAAAATAAGATTATAGGTATATAGAAATCTTTACCAAATTTTTTCATGTAAGTTGTTTTCCCTGGTACACCGTGTGGAGTTCCAAATTCAAGATTCCCTTGTTTAGACTACTGCTTTAAAAAATAATTCTGTTTCTCAGATGCAAACGGGTTGGGTGTAGGATTAGAGATAAGAGGCAGGCAGTTCAACATAGCAGTTAAGAGGGCAGACTCTGTAGTCGGAGTCTGTTAGTCTGGTTCAAGTTCCAACTTCAGCAAAAATGAGGTGTGTTGTCTAGGGAAAATTATTTAATCTCTCTGTGTCTGTTTCCTTATAGGGGATAATAATGGTAATCTACATATAGAATTGCTACAGGATTAAGCAAAATAATACATACAAACTGAGAACAATACCTAGCACATAGAAAATGCTTGTACTATAGGATTAGGTTTAACTATGAGAACGAAAACAAGACTGATGTTTCTTTTTCATGTAAACATAATGCAGAGCAGTATAGTGGCCTCACAGTCATTAGGGTCTTAGTCTCCTACTCTGTTGCTCCATGTGCTTGACTTGGTGGCATCCTTCTTCTAAACAGTGGGATGGAGAAGGGAATGAAAATGAAAGGATGAAAGGGTGAAGGACATAAGTAAGCTGGCTCAAAATTTTTTTGAAGTGGCCCTGTGAACACTTAGTTGACCAGAGCTTAGTCAAAAGACTCCATCCAACTTTAAGGGAAACCAGGAAAGGAAGTCTTCAGGCTCAGCCCAAAACATGAATAATTCTGTTTTCATAAAAGAAGGGGAGCAGATAATAATCTGTCAGAATGCTTCATAAATGTTGGTAATCATTGTTACTGTTACTTACATGGCTCCTAGATCAGTCTCCTCATCTGATAGTTCTTAGCTCATGGGACTTCTTTTGTATGTGCCTCTCCACTTGAATCTGTCACTGAAATTTGCTTATTTATAAAACTGCTTATTAAAAAAAAGTCCTATCTTTTCCCCTTTCTAATGTTCTGCTCAGAGTAAGTCCAATACTGTCCTTTTCTTATATTCATACCTACACTCATAATCTTAAAATATTTTCTAATTTATCTTATGCCTTTCTTCTTCAACTAGAGTGTTATACACTGAATTGTGTCCCATCCAAATTCATATGTTGGAAGTCCTAACCAGTAGTGCCTCAGATTGTATTTGGAGATAGCACATTTAACGAAATAATTTAGTTAAAATGAGGTCATTAGGCTGAGCCCTAATCCAATATGACTGATGTTCTTATGAGACAGAACACAGACACATGGAGGAAAGACCATGTGGAGATACAGGGGGAAGATGGACACCTACAAGCCAGGCAGAAAGTCCTCAGAAGAGACCATCTCTTGGTGTCAAGCAGTGACACCTTGATCTCCGATTTCTAGTCTCTTGAAGTGTGAGAAAAATTTCTGTTGTTTAAGCCACTCAGTCTATAGTGTTTTGTTATGGCAATTCAAGCAAAATTTTTCCTAGTCTGAGAGTTTATTTGGTGTTATCAAAGTCCCACCAAGAAACAGATGATACACTAGAAAGGGGGCAGTTTGATGAGAATTTAAGTACAAAGGGCCTATTTACCAAGATGTGGGTGTAGAGAAACTGAAAGAATGGTGCAGTAACCTAGAGAGCAGTGGAACTGTTACCACCCATAAGCCTAAAGAGAGGAAGGAGCCTTTATCAGAATTCCTTAGTCAATGGATATGGCTATCTTGAAGCAACTTTGCAAGGTAGGAGACAAGGTAATAAATAACCTGACTTTACTCTCCTCTCTCCATGTCTCCAATTTCCTGCCAGTGCTGCCCACTGATGGAAACCAACTGGCAGCCACAAAGCAATGATGTGGTCAGAATGCATGAAGGTCAGCTTTCTAGAAAGGCAGGTAAAAAAGAGTCAAGACTGAATATGGAGACACAAATAGAAGATAATCTGGCATAACAAGGAACTTAGACTTTAAGTTCTTTTGTACTTTTCACTCTTCCTTGTTCCTTATCCCCATGTGTCCATAATAACCAATATAGCAGATATAGCCAGTCCTCAATAAATATTAGAAAATTGACCATGCTTGACATTTTCAAGTACTGTAAACATTTCCTCCATTGTATTTTTTAGAATATATCCTCTCTCACTATTCCTAGTTACAGCTTTAACCCAAGTCTTAACCATATCTTACCTCTATAACTACTGCTTCCCTGTTTCTTTTGGCTCATTTACACAAATGAAAAAAACAAACAAAAGACAATCAACCCATGAGACCACAATACTTAAAGAAAAAAAAAAAAAAAAAGACCACACTAACCATCTCAGTAGATTATGATAATGTTTCTTCCTTTTCTCACCTTTACATTGCTTCATTATAGTTGACATGAGATTAAGATCGATTGTGGATATTCCAGTAACATTCCTGTCAACTTCCTTCCCAAAAGTTATTACAATTTCCAGCCTGTCTTACCTGTTTGTGGCAGGTAAGCATTATATTTTTTGAAGTCTACAATAAACTTTCAGAATTTTGTTTCTTTTCCAAAGATGATTGTCAAATACAGAGGTATGGCTTTTTCAAGAGATGCTAATAAGTTATAATGTTTTAATTGTACAACTAAATTAACTTAAATATAGTCTTATAGAAATTACTTTTGTAGTAGATACTTCCTTAATTTGCTCTCAGCAGTGAGAAGAACTTCCACCTAAACTCCAGTGTAGATCCACTTATTAAACATCATTCAATTCTGCCACCTCTGCAGCTGGTTTCGCAGTCGATGGTTTCTGGTTCTTCCAGAAAGTCAGTGCTTTGTCTTTCATAGTAGGATCATTGAGTCAGTACTGGCTCAAAAGAAAATAATACGGATATTTTATGCAATTTTACTTATTTCATTTAAGGAGGAATTTAATCTTAAACTTATCCACTTTCAAAATAGGCATGTTTAACCCTATAAAAATCTTTGTCATACAGTTTTATATAATCTTTTTATTACTCACTTAAAAATTCTCATCTATTATCAATCTTCAAACAAATTAGTGTTCTTCCTTTAAAGATTGTTTCTTCTGGGTGAAAAACGATGTAACATTTAACAAGTAGTCTATAATTACTCTTGTCACACATTTGAAGTTACAAGTAAGATAACCCTATAAAGCAAATCCAACTGTCTTTATTTTTTCATAAAGACGTATATCAATTTTTAATGAAGGAAAGGTTGCAGTGCCAAATTAGGGTACTGAGTTCAAGTACACTTAAGTAATCACCCTTTTATTAGTTTTTTTATGATCTTTGTGAAACTAGCAGAACGTTCACTATAATTTATCTCAGTGGATCTATTAACTAATCCCTCCCTCTATAAGAAGAAGGAAAAAAGCCTAAGAAACAAAATTGTTTTAAATTCACTTTTGCCACTGTTATTTCAGGGCCATTTTATCCATCAATCACTATGCTTAGGATTTATATAGTTCTCAAGGTCTTTTGAAAATGTTGGGGATCTAAGAAAAAAAGTTGACTTCAAAATATGAAAAGTTGCAAAAAAAAAACACGTCTACAAAACATTTTTAAACTCAATTTTAAACTTATGTCATTTTTAAACTCAATTTTTAGTCATGTATATTTTATGTGATGTGGATGTATTTTCATGTGTTCAATATTATTTGGGGTTGGAGGTCTTCAAACCAAGTCTTTAATTAAGCCTTAATCTTTACAATTTTTTTTGAGACAGGGTCTTACTCTGTTACTAGGGCTGGAATGCAGTGGTGTGACCATGGCTCTGCAGCCTCGAACTCCTGAGCTCAAGTGATCCTCTTGCTTCAGCCTCCCACATAGCTGGGACTACAGGCACACACCACGCCTAGCTAATTTAATTTTTTTGGTAGAGACAGAGTCTCTTTCTTGCCCAGGCTGGGCCTCCCAAAGTGCTGAGACTAAAGGTGTAAGGCATGGCACTTGGCCCTTAATCTCTTCTATGAGAGAAAGTAGTACCACATAACATTTCAAATAGTACTTGCAGGCAAGTGTTTTAAACATTCCACTGTAAAATGTATATTTTTGTGTTCCTTGCCCTCAAAACAAAAAAGTAAACAAGCTAAAAAAAATTTTTGGAAAGATATTGCATGCATATAAATCCCCCTTTCAAAACAAACAAAAAAGGCATCATGAGACAAATACATGTTATGTCAATCAGTAATCTTTATTTTTCTTCATTAGTGGTTATATATTGCTTTAAAAAAACATTTTTAAGGATGAAAAAAGTTCAGTCATATGCTGTAACCATTGATATACACATTCAAAAACAATTTAAATGAAGGTTTTATGTATTATTACTGTGATATTGGTGTGTGGGGCGGGTGAGATCTATGACATGTTTCAGTGAGAAGATACTATTAGTATACTTCCAATAGGAAGAATGGCCCAACAGAACTTGGAAGATGTTTTCTCCAGACTACAGATTATACTAGAAGAAAAAAAAAAAGGTAGAGGGAGGGAGGAAGGGAAGGGGAGGGAGGAAGTGGGAGGGAAGGGGAGGGAGAGGGAGAGGATTGGGGAGGGGGAGGGAGAGAGAGAAAACAAGAATTTGTTAAAGAATTTGGATAAATAAAATCTTTTTTTATATATAATTGACAATAATTTAGTAAATAAAATACTTTTCAGTACATATTATTGACGTGAATTGCTGATTCATTTATAGGAATTAATCTTTAACAGTTAAAGTTCATTGTCTTGTAAAAATCTACTTGGGGTTCACAAAGGTCTTAAAAAATGCTGGTAGAAATATTTATTAACATTATTAAGGTACTTACTCTATCAACAATTTTTCTTAATTTCACTGAAGTACTATATAAACACATATATTTAGTATTTTGAATCAATTTCCCTGGTATTCCATCTCTTAAAATCCATTAAAATCAGAATTTTAGAATTGAGATCATTCAGGTCTTTTTATCCTTGACTTACAAATTGAGTTTTCTTCTACCTCCAAAAGGTTTAAGTCTGAAGTGTTACCTACAGAGCTTATTTGACTTTCTAAACCTAGTCATAGAGTTAGCACCAATATCTCCCAAACACTCTTTTTTTTTTTTTTTTTTTTTTTTTTTTTGGAGACGGAGTCTGGCTCTGTGGCCCAGGCTGGAGTGCAGTGGCCGGATCTCAGCTCACTGCAAGCAAGTGTTACCTTAGAAGGTTGTATGATCTCCACCATATTTAAGATAGTTGATTCTAACAGAAAAAATTTTTTCTGTATTCATCTAGAGCTCACTTTAAGCCCTCAAAAGAAATTCCTTGTTTCTAGATGCATTCAGAATTATAAAGTAGCAGAACTCATTTTTTTGAGCAGAAAATCAATGTTATCTATTGTATGTCACACTTACATATGTGAAAATTTGCCAAGAATTTTACTATTTATCCTTTCTCTGCAGGGTTGAACAAAAATATTACAGAAAACGTGGACTAATGAAGTAGATAATATAGTAACAAAAATTCTATTAATGATTTATAGTGTTTGGGGGCAGGTATTACTGGCATATAATAAATATATAATGCATATTAATTACAATTTTGAAAAATGTAAACACCTGCATAAAACAAGATCTAGACTAGAACTCTCTAGAACTTCTGAGATAATAGAAGTGTTCTGTATTTGCACTGTCCAACTTAGCAGGCAGTAGCCACATGTGGCTATTGAACACTTAAAATGTAGCTAGTGTGACTGTGGAACTGAATTTTAAATGTTTTAATTAATATTTAGATTTTAATAGCTACATGTCATTAGTGCAGCTTAGACAGTGCAGAACATTTTCATCATCCTATCACGTTCCCTCACAATCCTTTCCACTAAAATCCCAACCTACTGCCTCTGCCATAAGACGACACTAAACATAGATTACTTTTTCCTGGTCTTAAATTTTATATAAATGGACTCATATGCTATGAGTCTGGCTTCTTTTGCCAAATGCAATGTTTTTGAGATTTATCTGTGTTGTATCAGCAGTCCTTTCCTTTGACTTGCTCCATGGTACTCCATGGTATGACTGTATCACAATTTGTTTTACTCTTTCTTTTACTTCTTTAAGACAAGGTCTTGCTCTCACCCAGGCTGAAGTACAGTGGAGTGATCATGGCTCACTGCAAACTTGAACTCCTGGATTCATGCAATCCTCTTGCTTCAGTCTCCCAAGTAGCTGGGACTCCAGGCATGTGCCAACATGCTCAGCTAAGCTTTAAATTTTTTTGTAAAGACAGGGTCTCGCTATGTTGCTCAGGCTGGTCTCAAACTCCTGGCCTCAAATGATCCTCATGGCTTGGCCTCCCAGTGTTGGGATTACAGGTGTTAGTCCTTGTGCTGGGCCCACAGTTTTCCCATCCTCCTATTGATACACATTTGAATTGTTTCCAGACTATTTCTTTTTTTGAGATGGAGTTTTGCTCTTGTTGGCCAGGCTGGAGTGCAATGGTGTGATCTCGGCTCACCGCAACCTCCACCTCCCAGGTTCAAGTGATTCTCCTGCCTCAGCCTCCCAAGTAGCTGTGATTACAGGTATATGCCACTACACCCGGCTAATTTTGTATTTTTAGTAGAGATGGGGTTTCTCCATGTTGGTCAGGCTGGTCTTAAACTCCCGACCTCAGGTGATCCACTTGCCTCGGCCTCCCAGTGTTGAGACTACAGGCGTGAGTCACCCCGCCTGGCCCCAGACTACTTCTTTTAAAGCTGCATGTGTACATCAAAAAGTAATTTACTTTGGTGTTAGGCAAAGGTAGTCAACTTATGATTCTATTATCATCTTTCTGTGTTGGAGTAAAAATGTAATTCCAAGACACACAGATGCACACAAATGTGTGTACACATGGGCATACACACTCTACACATACTCTTCAGAACTGCTGGAGTAATCAGCTGGTTTGTATTACTTAAAGAAAACAAAGAAAGACAAATCTAGAAGAAAATATTATTGTACTGTTTTCTAAACCAAAACATACTTTAGGTGGGGATAGGTAGGCTTGAGGGTGCTCCAGAGAATGGTGGCAAATTATGTTCAGTTTTGAATTATCTTGGCCCCACTCTCTGTCATTTTTTAATAATTATCACATATCCACAGAATTTCAGATCTAGTAAAGGCAATTAGTAATCCAGTAATATAATTATCCAGTATTCTACATAAGTGCTCAATAAATACTAGTAGAAATGAAACAATACATTTTATATAAGAGAATCCACGACTCTACACCTCTCTCTCTCAATTGAAGAAAATAGGGTATAATCAAATGAAAAAATTTAAAACAGGTGTATTTCTTTCTTATAAAGATTCATCACAAATTCAACAATAAGGTGCCACAGACTGTATTACTTTTCAAAACTCTGATATTTTTCAGAAGCAAGCCTATCACACAGCAGTATTTTATCTTTTCATATGCATCCTTTCTTTTTTAAAGTATTAATAATGAAAAAACTTATTAAGTCCTTGAATATGCAGTGGATATGAATAGGCAAAAACACCCTAATAGATAATACAGAAAAGAAAATGTACCACTATGAATGTGTTAAAAGTAACTTACGAAATGCACAATCTATATATATAATCAGGGCTTCAGATTTTTCTTCAAGTAGTTCAGATACAAATGTGTTATTCCCTGTCTCTTCCAATCATTCTGATCGGAGAGAAAGAAAAGAATCCAAAGTTGAAACACAACATTCTAAATTAATAGATAATGTTGAACATTTTACATTCAGGAACTATGTCTGCCCCACTTTAGCTTGGTTATGTACTTTTTTTTAATCGATCACACAGTGTGTTTTGTACTATAACAGGTGATAACTGTTAGAGTGGTCCAATACTTGGTCTTTTCTGTGACTTCTTAGCAAATAATTTATTTCTGAAACATACATGCAACATACGTGAAGATGCATCTATGCAGCTTTAAAAAATCGTTAAAAAAATCCTACAAGCAATGACCATGGGTTAAAAGGTTTCTGGGTTCTTTTGTAACTAATTAACAGTATTAAACAATACATGCATGTAAAATCCATATTTTCGATTCTATAGCTTGAATTGGTATCTTGCTTATTTGATTCAGTGTGGTGGTATATTCGTACGTTTTCACACTGCTATAAAGAACTACCTGAGACTGGGTAATTTATGAAGAAAAGAGGTTTAACTGACTCACAGTTCTGCAGGCTTAAGAGTAAGCATGACTGGGAGGCCTCAGGGAAACTTACGATCATGGCGGAAGGTGAAGGGTACAAGGACTTTCTTCACATTGTGGCAGGTGAGAGAGGGGTAGTGATAAATACTTTTAAACAACCAGATCTCTTGAGAACTCATTCATGAAACAGCACTAGTGGGATGGTGCTAAACCATCAGAAACTGCCCCCAGGACCCAATTATCTCCCACAGGGCCCCTCCTTCAACACATGCAGATTACAATTTGTCATGAAAGCTGGGTGGGGACACAAAGCCAAACCCTATCAGGCAGGAACACTGAACATTTCAAATATTAACCTCAATATGGTTAGAATTGTATCATCATCAAGTATCCTAAAACATGGGTAAATATTTTAAATTCTAAATTTTCAAGAATTAACTTCAGGAAATGTATCTATTCCTAACTCTGGAAAAGATCAAACCTGTAAGGCATAAAAAAAAAAAATTAAGCAGCTTAAAACTAATTTTATAATGTTCTAGCACAAGGGTTACACTTATTTTTTAATAGCCCCTCAAAGTACCTATTTATACTCTTGAGATACAGTTTTGCACAAGCTTCACTATGTGGTTTTCTTGCCTGTAGATTAAGAGTAGTAAATTAAAAGGGTGGTGAGGATAATAGAACTATGTTCACTGACAGCAGTAAAAAGCAACAGCTGACAATGAAAGAAGGGACAGGCAAACTGTAACAGACAATGGAACTTAAAAACAAAGCGATTCAGAGAGCCATGTAGTGTGGGCATACAGCCCAACACACCATTATAGGAATGAGGACTTTATCAGTAAATGTAATAAAGTGAATATTCATAAGGACTACCAGTTTTCATAAAGCTGGAATATATACCTCATTTCCCATCTGTATGTAAAATGGGACCCACATTGGTCACCACAGTCATTTGTCTGACTAGAAACCCTTACTACCACAGTGGGTCAGGAAACCTTTTAGCTTTAGCACTAGGCTCACCACCGTTCACTACTGCAACACATTATTATTGTAAGAACATCTCTAACTCATGAGATTATCAAAGGCAACAATATTACTTTTTAAAATGTACCCAAAGTAGCTGGTTCCCAAAACACGGTAACCTTGTATTCCATGGCACACAGCCATAAACTAAAACCACGGACTTTTAGGACTCTGTGCCTGTTTTTCCTCAAATGCGAATATTACCTAGCACTGGTGGTGTTGGGATTACATGGGATAATGTATGTAAAACACTTCGCACCAGTTCTGGGAAACAGAATGAGCTCAGTATTATTTTAGCGCTGGTGAACTCATGCCGGCCCAAATCCCTTATTTGCACGTGCAAAAATTAAGCCTCAAGAGGAGAACTGACTTCCTAACGCTCTACTTCTAATATGTCATTGTCTTGGATAAGCAGCTTAGTGGCAAATGTTGGCAGATTTTGGGTATTGGCAGGGCCTGGGGGCATGTGCCTGCTGGACTCGAGTCTGCAGAAAACTGGAGGAGTCTGTTCGAACCATGAGGCATTAGACGCTGTGCCTTATCAACGCGTGTTTGAGATGGCAGGTTGTGTTAACAACATTCAACACAGACGGAAGCCATTCGTCTATCTCAATTCAGCCGGAAATAGCAAGACCCTCAGCTACAGTAGGCTGACTAAGTGGGGCTGAGGGCAAGGTAGGTAACAGGATCCAGGCTTGAGCTCAAGCCCCGGTTCAGTCTTTAAAGAGGGATGAGCACGTAAGGGCTTAAACTAACAGAACTAGAAACTAACAGGATGGTGTCGCAGGCAGGTGTAAGTTACCCCGCCCCTCTACGCCCTCCGTCGAGGAGACTCGCCAAATGCGTTTTCTCAGCCTACGGGCAGGGCAATTTCTTGCTCTCTACAGGCAATTACTCCCAGCCCTGTAAGCAGGGAGTGATGACCTCGCCTTTTCGTTCTGGAGTGAGGGCCGGACACGCTTGGACCTCACCTCTCCGCGCCACTCTGCGGCGGGGCCGCGGGAGGCCGGCTCGCGCCCACGCGCACCCCACGCTCGCCTTCTCTAAGATGGCGGCAGAGGCTGCTCGCTCACGCCCCGCCGCCCGCGCTCCTCCAAGTCGTGCCCTCAGCAGGCGGGAGTGGGTCAGAGCGCGGAAAGCAGAAGGGCGAGAGTGACGCGGATCCTCCAGTCCAGCGCAGGCCGCGGAGCCCTGAAGCGTCCAGGAAAGCGAAAAGCCAGCAGGCTAACGCGACCAGGAACACCGCCAGCACCTCAGAAACGAAAAAAACGGCGGCACATCCGGGCCCCTCTGCCCGCCCCGCCCCGGAAGTAACGTATCGGGCAGGGGCGGGGGTTGCTCTTCAAAGTGGATTCTTCCTTAGCCATAGCTCGTCTTTCCACAAAGTGCCTGGAATCACCCTCGCCACCCCCTCCCTCGGGTTAGCCGTTACTCTCTCGTGGCTCCGGGACGTCTCTGCACAAAGCTGGCTGCCGGGAAAGGCAGCCCTCGTTTCACAGATAGTAATCCTCGCACCGCGACTCTAAATTCTCCTGGGCTTCGCCAGCGCGTGTAGTAACGTCCCTCTGAGAGGACTCTTGGTGACCTCAGCCCCAACCAAGCATAGGCGCACCTCTTCGGAGTCCTGTGTTGGAATCCCGGCCTCGTGCCCCGTCACCCCGCCACCCCGCCCGGCTTCGGGGGCCGTCAGTCACAGCGCTGCTCCCTCCCCTTCCGGCGGCTTGGCCGGGCCCGCCTCCTCCCCTCTTCCCTCCCCCACCCCTCCCCGTGCGAGTGTCTCCCTCTCCCTCTCGCTCTCTCTCTCCCTCTCTCTCTCTCTTTTGTGAGTTATAGCAACCGTTGCCTTGTGAATCAAGCGCCATAGTCACCGTAGTCCTGGCGACTGTTACCCATCAACAACAACTACTCCTCTCCTCCTCCTCCTCCTCTTCCTCCTCCTCCTCCCCACCACCACCATCTCCATCACCCACCAACAACACCACAATAATCCACAGCCAAGGTGAATATTCTTCGGTCTCTACATGTGTGTGGGAGCGTGTGGCTGCGTGTGAACGCGTGTGTCCGTGCGTGTGTGTGTTCGTGTGTGCGAGCCGAGTGTGGCTGTGCAGGGGTCTCACTCCTGACACGGGGGCTGCCGCTGCGGCGCCGCCGCCGAGGGGCTCTGTTCCCCGGGCTTGTTTACAATGGACCCTGCGCGCCGCGGCTGGGTCGGGGGTGTGGGCGCCGCGCTGCCCGCCGGCCCCGGCCCTGCGCCGGCCGCACTTCAGGGATGGAGCGGGAGATTGGGGGGCTGCGAGCCGAGCGGGAGAGGGAGTCACAGTTTTCCGATGCGGATGCCGGATCTTTCCCTTAGGTCTGGTATGAGGAGAAGGGTCAGGTGAAGAGATAAGAATTTGTTCTTTCTTTAATTTTCTTCTTTTCTAACGCTGCTTGTTTCCTGCTTCTTTCAAAGCCGAAATAGACAACAGTGTGCAGGGGGGGACCCAAGAGGTGGTGTTTTGTTGTTGTTGTTGTTCACTTGTGGGGCCTTGTTATGGGTTTTGTTATTTTTATCCTCGTACGTTGGTGAACTTTTCCCACCGCCTGTTCCCTTCATTTTTGCCCCTCTTTGCTTGGTGCTGAATGGGCTGCTCTTCTTTCACCATCGTGAGCTTCACGGTTTTCCTTTTTCTTTTTAAAACTGTGTTTTCTTTGTGCGGCAAACAGTCTTAATATCCATTCAGCACTCTTCCCTCCCCCTCTTTCTACTCCCCCACCCCCCCACACCCCTTGCACACACACGGAAACCTGGGGCCTCTTCGTTGGGCTCTCTTTGCTGTACTGGGAAAGAGATTTTTCTTTTTTAAAGTCTGTCTCCTCTCTCTTCTTTGGGGTGTGTGTGTGTGTGTGTGCTTGTGATTTAAACCGGATGCACGGCATCTGTGATACTTGGGTTAGTAGTTATTGACAGTGCTTTATCCTTCATGTGGAGGTGGGAGGGGTAGTAGTGAGGTTCCGTTTCACTTTGATGATCCTCTTTCTCCGCAGTAGAGTGTTAACAATTTTCATTGTGGTTATGAGACTTTGTGATGAACAGGGAAGGGACACAAGGAGGCTTTGTGAGAACTCAGTTCACAATGTTATTTGTGACAGTTATGGTACTTTAAGAGTTTTTTTTTTTTAATCTACTCTGTTCATTTTCCTTTGAGAGTTGAAATTGAAGTCAAGTTCATAAAGAATGTATGAAGCTTCTCAACTTGAAACGTGTGTATATTTCACTTTCTTTGTGGTTAAGATCTAGGCATGTTTGTACTTAACATATTCTTTTTATTTACTTTTTGATTTTCTTTGGACAGTGACTTGAACCTGCTCAGGAGAGAGAACTTTTTCCTTTTTAAGTATTTCTTTTAAAAATTATATTTCTCTGTAGATTTGAATACTTATTAGTCCTTATGTAGTAGGTTCTTGGTTAGCGTTAACCCAGTTTTACAGATCCCCTAAATTTGTTCATTTTTTTCAGCTTAACTTTTAGTTAATAGATTTATCAATAAAGAGTTTTGAAAATGAATGTGTGCTAAAACAAATACAACGTACTATTATAGTTGCACATATTGAAGTTTTTAATTTACAGTTTTAAAATGCTTATTCAAATAGTCTTCTAACAGCAAACATATATTGATTTAACTGACAGCAGCTTGTGAATAATGTGACAGTACTAATTATTCTTGAGATTGTCAATGAGCAGGGTAGGTAATTATAATGCTATTAAGGCTAATATTTTGTAAACTAAGAGTTGGGATTTTAAAAAACTTTTTCAATTCATTTCCTTGCGATTGCTATTTTAAATGAAGACGATATTTTGTTCTGAAAGAAGTCTTTCTCAGAGTACTCAGAATTCTTTATAATTATTCCTCCCCTCCCCAAACTGGGTTCCATGCAAATCTCTAATACTAACTTGTACTTTTTTTTGTTCAGATTGAGTGTCAAATGCCTGAACACTTTTGGATGATGAAGCTCCTGGGTCCTATAAACTCTCTGAAGTTAATAGGAGTTTTGCTGTCTTGGGACAGTTTCAGACCTTATGCCATTTACATAATAGGTTTTCAGTTAAGTAAATTATATGCTGGAATGTTACAATTTAATATTTGCAGTGTCTGAGAACTTTTTTGAGGCATTTCACTCATGTATAGCTCGTTTTCTGTGATTTAGATTTTCATTCACAAGTTGATTTGAGAGCAGAACTTAAATTGAATTTCATTACTTTTCCATTTTTTGAAGCATATATGTGGAATAAAATCGCTATTAGAGCTGCTGTGGAATTGCTTAAATAATCAGAAACACTAAGAAATGGTAAATTTAAAAATTAAACCCAAGAGTAGATACTTAGCTTTTACTTTATTCTTTCTTAATATTTTTCCTAGAAGGGACTATATTACATATTGATACTTTCTTGTGTTTTTAGTTTTTATACTAATAGAAATTTGTAAAAGTGATCATGCTTTGAAACTAAAACTATTTTAGCAGAAGTCACTTGTAACTTGTTTTGAATAGTTAAATATCTGTGATTCAATGTATGCCATAATGCCTCAGTGTTTTTGGTTTGTTTTGCCTGTGAATTATATAAAATGGTGTAGGCATCATACGTATACACATATTTGGCAAACTAATGAATTTCTAGAAATTTTGCATCGTTTCACAATGTTTTCATTAAATGTTGTAGTGGTGCTTAGTTTTTCTATATTATTCCTCCAGTACTCAAATAGTCCTGTACTCTACTTTGGTACTCAAATAAAAGGTTATAGTTTATAAGCTTAATATGCTTTAACCCGGAACAGTGTATTTTACCCTAAACAAATTTATTATGGTAAATTTTTTACCGTTAAAAATAGCAATTAAAAAATGAATGAATCTTAAAAGCAAGTTGGATTTTATGCATCGTTTAAATGATAATATATGTTACTTTTTGGTAACGTTTTTCATTTCTTGAGAAAGTTGATATTGTGTTGGTATTCTCCCGCTGAAGAAATTAGCAGGTAGAATATAATGATTTTTGGTTTTCAGATTTTAAAGTGTGGGTATATTTGTGTGTGTGTTTGTGTTTAAATGGGTGGGCATAGCAGAAGATATGTGGCAAGAGTTACACACACACACACACACACACACAAACACACTTTTCCAGAACACTAATAGGAATGTTACTTTGTTCTTAGTATTCATAGTGAGAATGTGTTACAAGAAATGAGAATAGGGAAGAAGTAAACTTTAACATTTTGGAGAGGCTCCTGATTATTTTGTTTTTATGCTGAACCATTGGCTAAAAATCCTCTATTTGAGCTTAATTACTTTAAAAACAGTTTTCGTAACTGAATAATTTGCCTTTAACTTTTTGGTATATATTCCCAGTGGCCATCACAAAGTATGTTTTAAATTCCTCTCTATTCAGTTACATAGTGTTCCCATATTTTGGAAATCCAAGATTAAGTGGATTTGATTAAATCTAGCTTGTTAGAGACAGATGGCTGCTTTAAACAGGTGTCACTTTCATTTTTTACTGCATTGTATTGGGACTTCCAGTGGTTGACAAAAGGGCTGTCTAAAGCAGGTGGCATCCTTTGCTTTTGTTGTTAGTAAAATCTACTTTAAGAGTTAATTATTTTCCTAGGAAAAGTTTTTTTTTTAAATAAAGTATAAGTTTTGAACTACTAAAGATTCATAATTTAACGTAACTTTTATTTCTGAATATTATTCTATTTTTAAGTTGTAGAACTTGCAGATTCTTTCACAAAACACTTATCAATTCTTATAAATAATGGTAAATTCCCTTTGAATCCAGAAAAAGTACACAGGAACATTTTACACACCCAAGTCAAACCCCAGGGCCGATTTGAATAAAGTGAAATTTGGTTAACATGACAAGTTATACTTTTGTCGTCCTTCACTGAAATAATTTTTTGACAGTATTTTTTATATGTTGGAAATAGGTATTGTTTTTGTTGGTTAAATATTTTCAAACTAAGCGTTTTCCTGACTTCATTTACTGCTATAAAGTTTATAGTGATCTTTTAAAATGATAATATTTTTAAGTATTAATGTTCAAAAATATGTACTGCAGTAAATAAAAAACTATCAACCTATTGATTTCTAAGGTTCATGTTACTGTATAATTCTGTCCTTTTCTGTGGGAATTTTATATTTCTTATAACAGATGCACCAGAGGGTGCTGTGCTGTTTGCAACATGAGATTATTATCACTAAGAATGTGAACTCACTAGAACTTTTATTTAAAGAAAAATTTTTTAATTATATATGCATTGAAGCATATAATAGGCTTATTTTTTATGGAGTTTAACATACGATCTTAATTGGCACTTTTACATCAAAACCTATCTTCATGTACTAATACATATTACCGCAACATATAACAATATAAAGATTGGTATCTTTGGCACTGTCTGAATGTCAGCATTAGTCCTATGGGCATAATGTTGATTATCTTATGTAGATATTTTAATCTTTATTTCAAAACTTAGGTTACCCTGAGAATCATACTATTTGGTGATATGTGACTTTATACTTGTTAAATTTCATATGGTTAGCATATATCAGTAATTGTACATTCTTATAACACTTTTACATGGCATAATTAGTGATATACTTTTTATTGTATAATCTTTAAAAAACTGCACTGAAAAAATAAATGGCACTGGAAAAATAAATGGCAATAGTGATTATCAGGCTAATTCATAATAAAATAGTATTAACATTATCTAGATAACTCTGGCTGGGTGTATTTGTTCACGTTTAGAATCCCAGAACTTTGGGGCTGAGGCGGAAGGATCACCTGAGGCTATGAGTTCAAGAGCAGCCTGGGCAACAAGGCCGCAAGATTTCATTTCTACAAAAAAAAGAAAAATAAAATTAGCCAGGCTTGGTGGTGTGTGCCTGTAGTCCAAGCTACTCAGGAGGCTGAGGTGAGAGAGTTGTTTAGCCCAGGAGTTTAAGGTTACAGTGGGCTGTGATCATGCTGCTGCACTTCAGCCTGGGTGACAGATCAAGACCTTGTCTCAAAAAACCAAAAACAGAAACGAATGCAATCCCTACTTCACGCTGTTGGAATAGGCTGGTTTGATTGTTTAATTTGGCTCTTTATCTGAAAACTTTTAGATTCTCTGCCTTACTGTGTGCCATATACTTTTAAACTGGGAGTGATCTTATATTACTTTTTTTATTTTATTTGTTCAGTGAGAGATTTTCAGGAGAACTACTGAGTCCAATCTTGGGCTGCTTCTTGTATCATCGATTCTCTTTTCACAGCAATATATATACTCTAAAAGACATACTGAAACAGTAATATCTTCCTTAAGTAAGCTTAGAAAGACATAGTAACAGCATATAAACTTTTAAATCTTGATAATGGATTTATCTGTACTATTACACATTTTACTATAATTAATTGCGATATTTTTATAAAGTAACCTTACAAGGCATAGTAGTTCATGTGTGTTGGACTGCCTCAAAGAATCCAAAACATTTAATAAAGTAACACTATGTTTAAATACTGGTCTTGCTAAAATAGGTTAGGTATTTTTGTTTAAAAATATAGTCCTACAGTTTACCAGTTAGTTTTTGCCAGTAAGATTTTTCCTTTTTTGAAACAGGGTCTTGCTCTGTCACTTAGGCTGGAGTGCAGTGGCATAGTCATAGCTCACTGCAGCCTCGATCTCCTGGGCTCAAGTGGTACTCCTGCTTCAGCCTCCTGAGTAGCTAGGACTACAGGCTATTGCCATCATTTTAAAATTTAAAACATTTCAATTTTTTTTTTTTTTTTGTAGAGACAAGGTCTTGTGTTGCAGGCTAGATTTTTGAAAGTGTATTTTATGACAAGTTATATTGCTTAAAAAATCTTTATTTTTGTAGTTTTTATTTCATATCAAATGCAGAGTGTTCTTAGTGAAAACAAATCAGTTAAAAATTGAATATATTTAGAGTATCAATAAATAGGTATAAATAGGTTTTGTTCTTTAAATAGATGGATAGAATAAGTATACTGGTGAAGAACAGGCTTTGGAGTCAGATTTCAGATAATCTCATTAGCTGTGTGACTTTGGACAAGTTATTACCTTCACTTAACCTCAGTTTTCTCATTTGAAAAATAGGATCAATCTTGCCTGCCTTATGGGGTTTTGTGAGGATTAAAGGAGATAATTTATGTAATGTACTTTGCTCAGTATTTGACACAATATGTGTTCAATACGTGTTGGCTTTATTATTAGGGAAGGCTGAGAAAATACCTATTCTAATCTTTTTGCTACCTAAGAATCCTTTGACCATTCCTTTTTTAATGAGCCCAAAAAGTTTTGAAAGACTTTGCTTACCAATCTATACTCATTAAATAATAATTATTCCTTTTCCTCCACTTTAAAAAATAAAGCACAGACAAGCTACCAATCACAGGCTTGGATTATCATTTGATAACCAGTCTTATCACACTGAATTAATAGAATGCTAGCCCAAAGTTATGTTTTAGTTTTATTCTGCAGCCTTATAATGGGTTGCTTTTACTAGGTTTGCATAACTCTCCTGGTCAAAGGATTTTAGATTAAGATCTAATGATGTAATATTTCATTATCTGTTATACTGTCATTGTTCAGTTCATTGTCCCACTTATATTTTTATTTTCATGTTAGACACGAATTATTTTAAAACAGTCTGAGCCCTGTTTATAAACTTTATACCGAATGCAGTCAGTAATGTTTAATAATGATAAATAGTCTAGTCAGTTGTGTAAAGATGAGTTTATCAAGGAATTATTCTACATTTTTATAATACATTGCTTAGTATTGTTACTTTACTAAGGGTAGAAAAATGTGTGAGGTCACTACTTGTGTACCTACAGCAATAAATAATTTTGGCATAATTTGTCAATCCCAATCTTCAGTTGTAAAGTAACCTTGGAACATTGTTTAGTGTAATATATAATATGAAATCATAGAGGAAATATGTCACCTGTGGCTTCCTTTCATTGGATATTAAAGACGTTTAAGTAACATTTTCAAGTTGGCTGCTTAATTGTTAAAGTTGCTATTCAGTAATTTCCTTTATTTCTATATTTTTCCTGAGTATTTTCATTGAAATGAAACAGTTTTCTCATTTTAGAGTGATCTATAAATAGTTCTAATCTTTCTGAAACTGGAAATTTGATTTATATATTTCAGTTGAAAATTTACCTCATACTATATGTCTTTTCTTTTTTGCCAAAGCATTGTATATTGTACAGATGTTTGTCTGTGTCACTCATTTCACCATTCTCCCCACTCCCGTTAAGTGTTTAGTTATGTGACCCCTTTTGCATTATTTTTGTAGATAATTAGCCCCAACGTATCAATTAGACTGACTCTTAGCTTAGCCACCTCCTCAGCTTCCTTTTGCCAGTAAATTTGACACACATTTAAAAGGAACTTTTGGGAAAACGTTAGGAAATGTGATTTGGATGGTCAGGTTATGCAGTCATACATTGCTTAATGATGTGGATATGTTCTGGGAATTACGTAGTTAGGTGATTTTATCATTGTGTGAACATCATAGAGTGTACCTAACACAAACCTAGATTGTATATCCTGCTACATGCCTACGCTGTATAGTATAGCATATTATTCTTGTCTATAAACCTGCATAGCATGTTACTGGAGTGAGTATTTGTGTATCTGAACATATCTAAACATAGAAAAGGTAATGCATTGTGTTAAGGTGTTTAGTTGGTTATGATGCCACTGAGCTAGAGGAATTTTTGAGCTCCATTATGTTGTGGGATGTGGTTTGTTGTTGACAGAAACATTATGTGGTGCGTGACTGTATGGTTATTCTTACCATTTCCAATAGTCTGTTATTGTCTTACAATTTCTACTTATCTGACTGTCCTCTCGGACAAATATATAACCTTGTTCCACTAACTGTGTAATCTGAGTGTGGTTTTGATTCATAAGGCTCCCTTCTTAGTCCTGGCTATGTGCTGGCCTCTGGCTAAGTACTTTAGGGTTAAATCTCTAGTCCATAAATATTGTGTTTGCACAATCACAGATGCCTGCCATTGCTGACTTTTAATTCCTGGATTCTTCTTTCTCACTTTTATTAGAAGCAGTAATACCCAGCTACTACTGCTTGACTTTGCTTTACAGTGCTTGGTCTAGATTTCTGGAGGTTTTTGGTAATTCCTGTTTAGGCAAAAATGAGGTATTGGGTAATAGGAGTTGAGAGTGAGGCAGCTGTCCTCAAAATAATAGTGTGTTAGTTGGTAAGAGGAGACAGATAAAATGAAAGATGATAAAAGGAGAAAGGACGAGTGACCAGGCCAAGATATAAAGGACTTCAAAAATGCTAGCCAAAGGAGGTTAAAAAGAAAATAAAGGTTCTCACTCTAACTGTAAAGCCTTAGTGTAGTCACTTAATAGGCCTCAGCTTCTCCATCTGTGAAATGAAACAATAGGGCTGTGGGATCTCTAAAGCCCTTTCCAGTCTATGATTCTGTAGCAAGATTGACACTGGGAAAAGGGAAACATGCCAATGACATGGAGCCAGGAATTGGCATTTCCCTTGCATGTTCTCAAAGGCTAGCAAGTTGTTTGCTTATTGTTTCTTCTGATAAGAACAAGAAAGAAAGAAAACCCACAGCCTGGTACTAGCATAATGGCCATACCTATAGCAAAATCTCAGAAGGTTCCACCATTTCAATGGCTTCTGTAGAGAGCGGTGGCCAAGTGCCCTCATTTTCTCACCCACATAGGAATTAGCTGAGTCTCACAGCTTGAGTTCCTGCCGAAGCCAGCTTCTCTATGTATGTGTGCCAGACAAGTGTCTGACATTTGGGGCTCCTCCTGTCTGTTGCTCACCAATGAGATATTTAAAACAGGACATAATTCCCAAGTATGTGGATAGGCAATTTAACAGAGAGAGAGCGAGCGAGAGAGAGTGCGAGAGCGAGCGAGCGCATGCGCATTCTCTTATCAGAATAAAAATTAATTTAGGTTTCTGTTGATCTTGTTTTTAAGACGTTTCTTCCCCAATTATTGAAGCTATTCAACGGGTTTTTAAGAAGTGCTAAAAATCCTGTCAAGGCCTAGACAAGCTCTGAGAGCCTTTGGACTACTTTGGTGTCCCTGGTCTGGAAAGCATTGCCATCCTCCACACTAGTCTCATATTTTTCCATCGGTAATAATTTACTGCTTTACTTTCTCTTAATATTGTTTATATTTGGATAAGCATTCTTTTAATTAAACTTTGGTAGAGAAAAATAGTCCTTTAAGAAGTATACATTTTCTTAAATTTAAATACATTTTTACTTTAATACTACTTTGGTTTGTAGACTTACCAAGATTTTAGAACATAGCAGGCTAGGAGAAGAAGCATTTTTACATTTATTCAAGATAAGTCATATATTCTGCTGTATCTCAACTCTTTTACCAGCCTAATAGGGGAGTATATTAAAGCTTAGATTGTAATTGTTGTTGCTTTAAAAAATTTATTTTTGCATGCTTTTTTACTGATTAATATAACATATTCAATTTTCTGGACTACATTCAGATTTGCATGCCTAATAGCATTTATGTACTTCAGTATAACTTTCATCTTTAAAATATATCTCATCCCCTTCCGTCTCAGTCAGCATAGTTTACTTTAATGTGCAAAACCATTTTAGAGATTCTTTGCTTGTCAGTTAAGTGTCTTCCATGTTTTAGTTGTGGAGGAATGGGGGAGGTTGCTGTAGAAGGGCAGGAAAAGCAGATACATTTAGAAATCATATCCTGTTTCTATTGTTAGACATCAGTGCATTACATATTTTCCCCAGTTAATTTTCCTGGACCATTAAGTTCTGGTGGGTGTGGAGGCTTGAGATGGGACTTAGGGGGCATGGGGAGTTGGGAGACAGAAGACTTAGGTGATCCAGTATTTCTTCCAGATTTCTTATCTGTTGAAATAGTGTACAGAGTACAACTATTTTTGTGAAGATGGGCATTCTGTTTAATTTTGTTAGTGATTCCTTTTTTCTAAAGACTCAATATATCTGTATATATCTATCCATTTGTACATTAGTAGATGTAAAATAATATCTTTCTATTTTAAGGAACCAGAATTTTGATTTAGTCATGTACAAATTTTAGAAAGGTAGGAATTAAAAAAAAAGACATGAGAAAATCTAGTTCATAAACAAGATAACAGCAGTGATTCCTTAAATCTACCTTTTTATGTTTTGCTTTGGATAAATGGTTTTGTGGATATATATTTTTGCATTAGAATTTAGTTTTCCCCTGATACTATTTATACTATTTTAAATAACCAAAGAGCAAAACCTATCACATCAGGCATTTGCTTATTGGCATCTGATTATATCTGATGACAGTCTCAGAGATGAATTTTGATGAAGTGTCAGTTTAAGGGTCATTAATAAAAAACATCAAAAGCTATTATATGAGTAATATGAAATTCACCTTTACAACTTTAAAAGTACAATATGTATTTTGATGTGCCATGTTGAAAACCCAACATGAAAAATCAGTACATAACATGCAAACTCATAAATTTAGATTCTTTGTTTTATAAAATGATTATATTGCATATGTCTTAAGAGCATTTTAAAATACTTTGTTTAGCTCACACTTGTAATCCCAGCACGTTGGGAGGCCGAGGTGGAAGAATCCCTTGAGCTCAGGAGTTCAAGACTAGTGTGGGCAACATAGTGAGACCCTGTTTCTACAAAAAATTAAAAAATTAGCGAGGTGCAAAGGTGCCTGCCTGTAGTACTACCCCCTCTGGACTGAGGTGGGTGGATTGCTTTAGCCCTCAAGGTGGAGGCTGTAGTGAACCCAGAACCTGGGCAACAGAGGGAAACTCTGTCTCAAACAAAACAAAACAAAACAAAACAAAACTTTGCTAAAAAAAAATTGCTTTTCAATTAGAGTGTAGTAGATATATTAAGAAAAATGGAGTTTAACTTAATGTGTTTTGTGTGTGTGTATGTAGATATTTAGAAAGTCATTTTAGTTTACATTTTGCTTGGTGTTGTAGAACTATCTGTATTGTTTTTGTGCACTGATGTTTGCATTATCCATCTCTTGGAGGATCATTAGGAACATTTAGTATTTCCACCTCAGCGCTATTTTCTTGAGGCAAAGAAAATTAGGGGAACTGTTTAATGAAATTCTTTGAATGACCTTCGTGTGGTTTTGTGAGCAATTTTTAATAGTGTCTCACATTATATGATGATTTTTAGAGGCTACTTTTAGTTAATAAAGACCATGAATGTTGAAATTGAATTAAATTGTAGTTAAAGACAAAAATTGTAATTCATTCCAATTATAGAAGGTTAAGATATTGTGCTGTTGGATCAACATTTGATCTCCTTATTTTTAGAAGTCTGCTGAGTTTTGAAATGTAAAACCTTTTGAATAATATTGAATGAGTAGAGCTGTATAATAGTTGCAGGTTTATATTTCAGCAAAGATTTGAGTGCCATATGTCTTGGAAGTAAGGTGGGATTCTTTAATCTTGGAACTTGGAAAGAGATTTATTTTAGTATTTTGATTGGGTTAGGTTTGCTTGAGCATTTTTGGGGGTTGATAGAAATGCAAATGACCACAGACTGGAGATACAGATCAGAGTAATTTGTGAGAGGAGGTAATTGTAGCGATCCTGATGCAGCACTCACTTCCAGTCCTGTTGCCTGTGATAAACTTTACGGTAAAGACTTCTTTATTGAATAATGTAAGCCTCTCTATTAAAATGTGTTTTTGTTAATTTTCATTGCTGCCTGGAATTTCCTAAATGTACATTATCAGGGAGCTTTGGAAGTCCCAATTTACCTTTTGTATTATAAACCTTAGAAAGAATGCCAATAGATGGCACCCCATGCCCAGAACAGCACCTTAATCTGAAGGAATGGGGTAGAAAATGAAGAGCAGGATCATATAATTTGAAAAACTGGAGTATGAACAGTGACTAGTACAATGTAGAGAAAAAGAAGTATCATTTCAGGGACTAAATATGAATCCCAGTTCACCATATTCTGCGTATCTGATAATAATATCGCTGTCATGACTGATGACATTTCTAATATTTGATTCAAAAACATTCTAGCAGAGACCTAAGATAATTGGATAAATTAGTCTCTAAGCTTTTGGTTTTTTATTTTGTCCTTTAGCTTTAATTTTGAATGAGGAATTAAAGGATTTATATCAATGTATATTTAGTGCAGTATTATTTTGGTTAATTTAGGAATCCTGAAATGACTTAGATTTCCATTGAGTTTTAAGGAGCATAAAGTAATGAGGGAAATGGGTTATTAGATACAAAACTGGATATTCTCAGCTATGTGGACATATTTTTTAAGGTTTCGAATTGTAGAGTGTTACAAAAAGGACATACGATATTTGGGAATCAAGAAAGATAAAAAAGGGTAGGAAGAGATACTGAAAAGTGGAGTTGAATGAAATTAGTAGAGAATTTGTAAATAAAGATAAATTAAGGTAAGATGGAAAAATCACAATATGAATGATGAAATAATTTGTTGAATGAACAATTTCTTTTTAAAATCTTTACTGTGATTTTTACCTAATGGGAGGACCCGAGGAAAAAGATTGTACCTAGCCTCTTTTTGAGCGCCACATTTGTGTTTTGTTTGTTTGTTTGTTGGAAATTATTCTAACAAGGTGCTGGGATCTTTGACTAGTATTGTATGAGGTTTGGGTATTTCTAGACATTGTATATAGAAATTAAATTGAGATGTTGCATCAGAGTTTTCTTGTACTTATTTTATTATTACAAGGTAATATATTAATATATAAAATACATAAAATTAGTATATCCAGTTGAGATATCTGATTAGTTTATCTGATATCTAAAGCATCCTACATTTGTAAAGTCAGTATATAATAAAAAAACTGTGTCCCGTAAGTGTATGTATTCCTAAAACATTTTATATTTTGGGACATTTAAAACTTATATTGGAGTAGTCTGGTAAGCTCCCATATGCCCATTACACGGATTTAACAAATTAGTACCTTCTATTGCTCTAAAGCTGTATAATTTGAGGTATTTGTTTATTGAAATAACCTTGAATCATTCTTTACTTTGTGTTGCTTTGAAAATATTTAAATCTTACGCTAAGAACAGATTCAATGTATACTTGAAAAAATGCTTGTGTTTAAAACAAAATATTTAAAAATGATTGATGTTGTTTTTTCTCTCAGCACAGCATTTCTCTTATTTATTATTTTCATTTTTGTGGGTACATGGTAATGATATATATTTATGGGGTACATGAGATATTTTGATACATGCATACAAAGCATAGTAGTCACATAAGGGTAAATGGGGTATCTATCACCTTAAGCATTTACCATTTCCTTGTGTTACACACATTCTAATTATACTTTTAGTTATTTTAAAGTGTACAATAAATTATTGTTGACTGTAGTCACCCTACAGGCACAGCATTTCTAAATCAGGAAGTTTGTTCTTGGTTTCCGGTCATATCTTTTGTTCAGTAATTGAATTCAAGGCTCCTTTACTTGAATCCTGACCCATCATTAAGAAAGGGAGAAAGTCCAGGGACAGTAGCCCGCATTTGAAGAAACCTGTGTTGAAGACTAACTCTCCAAGGGTGAAATGGGGTTATCTTTTGTCTACCATTCTTTTAACTTTGTTTGTGGGTAGATTCGAGTAAACAGTTGAGTCATTTTGTAAGTTAATGAGGGAAGAGAACTATCTTCCGCTTCTTCTGGAATATTTCCTTCAAAGTTTGCTACTCATTTTGTTTGTAATAGAACATAAAGGAAGAGACATCCAAGAGTTAATGTACTGATAGTTTATGATATCACTCAAAGCAGTTTTAATATTTTGTGATTTAGTATCTTCAGAGAATGAGGAAGTTACTTTTCTGAGTTTTTTTATTTGACTGAGGCCAGACTGGTATGAAAGAAGTTTATTTTACAATGCTAAAATGTATAGCCAAAAAAAAAATCATTATTCATGTAATAATATTATTATTACATGAAACTATTCTGTAATGAGCAGACTAGTATGTATAACAAATAGTGATTAATGGCATTTTAGTAAACAACACAAAATGTATACCTAAATCTTTTTAAAAGCTGATGTTTCCTTGTTTGAACCCAATTCAATGATTAAGATATGAAGAGGTAAATACAGTACAT